TTTCATGAAGCTGTGCGGTTCTGAGTTAGTTTTTGAATTCTGATTTCTAACTTGATTGCGTTGTGGTCTGAGAGACTGTTTGTTATGATTTCTGTTCTGTTTCATTTGCTGAGGAGTGATTTACTTCAATTATGTGGTCAATTTTTGAGTAAGTGTGATGTGGTGCTGAGAAGAATGTATGTTCTGTGGATTTTGGTGGAGAGTTCTGTAAATGTCTATCAGGTTTGCTTGTTTTAGGTCTGAGTTCAAGTCCTGGATATTTTTGTTAATTTTCTATCTGGTTTATCTGTCTAATATTGACAGTGGAGTGTTACAGTCTCCCACTGTTACTGTGTGGGAGTCTAAGTCTCTTTGTAAGTCATTAAGAAATTGCCTTATGTATCTGGGTGCTTTTGTATTGGGTCCATATATATTTAGGATCATTAGATCTTCTTCTTGTATCGATCCTTTTACCATTATGTAATGTTCATCTTTGTTTCTTTTGATCTTTGTTTCTTTAGAGTCTGTTGTATCAGAGACGAGAATTGCAACTTCTGCTTTTTTTTGCTCTCCATTTGCTTGGTAAATCTTCCTCCATCCCTTTATTTTGAGCCTTTGTGTATTCTTGCATGTGAGATGGGTTTTCTGGATACAGCACACTGATGGGTTTTGGATTTTTATCCAATTGCCAGTCTGTCTCTTTTGATTTGTGCATTTAATCCATTAACATTTAGGGTTAATATTGTTATGTATGAATTTGATACTACCATTTCAATGCGAGCTGGCTGTTTTGCCGATTAATTGATGCAGATTCTTCATTTTGTTGATGCTCTTTACCATTTGGTATGCTTTTGGAATGGCTGGTACTGGTTGTTCCTTCCTATGTGTAGTGCCTCTTTGAGGAGCTCTTGTAAAGCAGGCCTGGTGGTGACAAAATCTCTGAGTACTTGCTTGTATGCAAAGGATTTTACTTTTTTTTCATTTGTGAAGCTTAGTTTGGCTAGATATGAAATTCAGTTCAACTGTTGTGGATGACAGTGTGGCAATTCTTCAAGGACCTAGAAATAGAAATTCAATTTGATCCAGCAATTCCATTACTGGGTATATATCCAAAGGACAGTAAATCATTCTACTATAAGGACACATGCACATGAATATTTATTGCAGCACAGTTTATAATAGCAAAGACCTGGAAACACTCCAAACGCCCATCAATTATGGGACTGGACAGGGAAAATGTGGCACATATACACCATGGAATATTATGCAGCAATCAAAAACGATGAGTTTGTGTCCTTTGTAGGGACACTGATGAACCTGGAGAACATCATTCTCAGCAAACTGACACAAGAACAGAAAATGAAATACCACATGTTCTTACTCACAGGCTGGTGTTGAACAATTAGAACACATGGACCCAGGAAGGGGAGCACTACACACTGGGTTCTGTTGGGGGGAATAGGGAAGGGGCAATGGGGGGAGTTGGGGAGAGATAGCAGGGGGAGAAATACCAAATATAGGTGAATGGGAGGAAGGCAGCAAATCACACTGCCACATGTGTACCTATGCAACTATCTTGCATGTTCTTCACATGTACCCCAAAACCTGAATAGCAATAAAACATAAAACATAAATAAATAAATAATAATAATAAAAGAGTTGAAAGAGAGAGAAAAGCTGTCTTCTGTAGAGGGAGGGGTCCTAAGTAGGTCTTCCAATTTGTCGTGAAGTGCAGGAAGTTTTATAGATGAACTTGAGGAGGCAGTGTCTGATTTACATAAGACACAAAAGATTGGTTGGATTAGGTGTGCCATTTGCATAGGATGCGAAGAGGCTGGCCACACCACCCAAATTTTTTATTAGGCAGATGGGTTCTATATCTGGCTCCCATGTTGCCTGCTTTTTTACTGTACATGTGGTGACAAAGAAAAGGGAAGATGGAGCCTCCATGTGGAACATGCCTGGCTCTCAGGTAGCCCTTTTTTCTTGGCACAGATGCCAACAGTCACCCGTGCAAGCTTCCAGCTTGCTTATCTATGTCTGCCGCTTAATTTTTCTTGCTGCTCTTCCTTAGAAAAGAAATTATTTTGGGGCTACTTTTTGTTAAAAGGAAAAATTCTGCCGAGGACTCTGTTGTTCTTACTATCGGCCTAAATAATTTCTTTTTATCTCCTGTATCAACAGCACTGAATTCAGTGCCTCACAATTGCTGTGCTCTCTCTCCCCCTGCACCCAGGGATGCTCTCTGTACCAAGCTGCCACTTCTGGGGGTTGGAAAGGGGTGGTATTGGCAAGTCAGGACTGTTCTCTTTTCAGTGCCTCTGTCAGCCATGTGGAGTTAAAACTGATTATTATGAGAGCTCACTTGATTTTCAGTTCTTATGCCGGTGTGTGTGTGTTTGTGTTTGTGTGTGTGTGTGTGTAGATTGTTGTTAAATTGGTGTCCTTGCAGGGGTTATGATCAGTGGAATCTTCTCTTTGACCATCTTGCTCTGCCTCCAGTCCTTGTATTATTCTGTTGATATTTTGTTTTAGAGGTTGATATAAAAGCTCTCAGCTGTGACTTCTTTCAAAGCTGAAGAAATTAGTGAAATCATCTTTGCCCTGGCTTTCTTATTACCTCTGTATCATCTCCTAATTATTCTCTAAACTAAACATTTTTAACTAATAAGTCACAGTGTAGGTTTAATTTAATTCTCTGTCAACTATCTGAAAATAAAATGTCTTTTGATTTTTTGCCACCTTAATTACCTATATCTTCCAGATAATATTTGGCTCTGTTTGCTACATTCATTTAAGAATATTGTGAATTTTTTTTGTTCCTTCAATGACTAACTCTTTTATCATTAATGTTTATAATATTGAGAATAACCTTTCACAGACACAGAAAAAAACATTTGATCAGGGCCAGATTCTATTGTCAGGGTTGCACATGGCTTCTGTTGTTTTAGGTGAAGGACTCCTGCTAGCTCATTTGAAACTTTTTAGTTCACTCTACCAATTAATGGATATCTTCAGATATGTACTAACTTTTTAAGGCACTAAGAAGTATTCTCATTTTTTAACTTTTTTCTTTTGTTTTAATAGGGCCATATTTATTTATATTTTATTCTTCTTGAAAAAAGTAGATAAATCTTATAAAAATCTCATATAGGCTGGGCGCAGTGGCTCAAGCCTGTAATCCCAGCACTTTGGGAGGCTGAGGCAGGTAGATCACGAGGTTAAGAGATGGAGACCATTCTGGTCAACATGGTGAAACCCCATCTCTACTAAAAATGCAAAAAAAATTAGGTGGGCATGGTGGTGCATGCCTGTAATCCCAGCTACTCAGGAGGCTGAGGCAGGAGAATTGCCTGATCCCAGGAGGCAGAGGTTGTGGTGAGCTGAGATCGCGCCATTGCACTCCAGCCTGGTTAACAAGAGTGAAACTCCATCTCAAAAGAAAAAAAAAATCTCATATAGTGTGTCAGTAAGTTTTAGGAAACTTCATAGGGTCTTTCTAAAAAAAAATAGGAATTTGATAAGTGACAAAACTGGAACATTTGATGGTTCATCAACAGAAATCAGAATGTTCAACTCTAAAAGTAGTTCTCTCCTTTTGAAAAGGCCTTAAATCTCAAACTTAGTTCTTTCTAAGTATTTTCAGATTTAATATAACTAGCTAAAAAAAAAGAAAAACTCATTTTTTTATATATATATACTCCACACTTCTGACACTATACATGTGAGTTTTCTACTCCAAGCAATTCTCCAGTTCTCCTGCAGGCACCTTCTGAGTGTTCTAGAGTTTAATTCAGTCATGACACAGACCCCACATATTACGGGCTCACTACCACAAAAATGCCCTCTTCTCCCCTTTCAGATGCCAGTGGCAAACTCAGGTAGTCTCCTGTGCTTCTGATTGGCTATAAGTCAGAAGTTCCCATAATCCTTCCTTAGGTTTTATAATTTACTAGAATGACTCACAGAACTTAGGAAAACAGTTTACTTTATAGATTACCAGTTTATTGTAAAAGATATAATGGAGGAACATCCAGATGAAAGAGATGCGTAGGGCAAGGTATGAGGGAATGAGCGAAGCTGCCATGCCTGCTCTGGGTATGCCAACTCCCAGCACCTCCTCATGTTCACCAAACCTTTCCTTTTTTTTTTTTCAAATTGACAAATAAAGTTGTGTATATTTATCATGTACAACATGATTTTTTGAGATCTATATATCTCTGAAATATGTATATCTCAATATATATATATAACACTGAATAACATCTCCCCTAATTAGCTACATATATCAAATGCCATATATTATATATATTCTAATTAGTCTATCTAGCTGAAATTTTATAACCTCTGAATAACATCTCCCCTAATTAGCTATATATTCAGGAGATCTATTGTACATTATGGTGACTATAGTTAATAACAACACAGTATATTCTTGAAAAATGCTAGCATAATAGATTTGAAGTGTCCTTTTGGGTTTTCTTGGAGGCTTCATTACTTAAGCATGATTGATTACATCATCAGCCATTGGTGATGAAACCAATCTCCATCTCTTCTCCCTGCCCTGGAGGCTGGAGAGGGGGATGAAAGTTTCAACCTTCTTATCCCAACCCTGGCAGCCAGGCTCCTATCCTTAGGAGCTTTCCAAAAATTACCTCATTAACAAAAACTCTGGTGCAGTTGAAAGGAACTTGATATGATGCTCCTTTCATCTTTATGGCACATAATCATTTAAAAATTTTAGGAAATCTGGCCAGGAACCAGGCACAAAGACAAAGTATATATATATTTTATTATATTACAACATCATACTAGCTTCAAATAATTACCGAATCACAGATAAATCATGGAGAGTTAGTTTATTTCAACAAATAAGCCCTTGCCTTAAGCAAAGGTAATACCAACAGCTATATCGGGAACAGGACGTTTCCTATTTGTCAAATTTATAAATGTTACTTTTAAAATTTTCTCAACACTGGCCAGCAAGCAATTCAGTTCACATTTGCTTTGATTTATTTCCTCAGGGAAAGCATGCTGCTTCTTCAAAGACTCCAATCTCAGATGGCAAAATACAAGGAAGCTGAGGTAGATCTTCTGGAGTTTTAGATAGACCACTGTAGCTCAGTCAGAGGTCCAATTATGATAATACCCACATGGCCCTGGTCTCCCACAGCCTACATCCAAGCCTCTGGAGAAGCTGAGTAGCACTGCCTTGATTCACCACAGATGCTATAGAATCAGCAGGTGAGAGACAATAGCACTCCCAGCTGTGTAACCTGCTTCAAATCCTACAACCATCTATTCTATTTTTGGACATTTATTTCTGGGCTTGAAAAGCAACAGATGCATTCCATACATCAGTGGTATATCCAAAGCAATTGACTTTTATTGTGGTGTATAGTTACCTGTTTCATTCATGAGGGACCATCTCTCTTTGTTTATACCTTTTGGAAGTAGCATCCCTCAGATCATTAGCAGGCCCTGGCTTGGTTTGAAATTCTACCTCAGTAGCTTCCATTGGAGCCAGGGCAAAGTCAGTAAAATAAAAGTCTTTTGCGCTGAGAGAGGGAGCAAAATAAAATTTGGTGCATCAGAGACACATATTCTCTCTGAACATGCTGCAGTAAAAATTTTCAAGGACTTTTTTTTTTTTGAGATGGTGTCTTGCTTTGTTGCCCAGGCTAAAGTGTAGTGGCATGATCTTGGCTCACCGCAACCTCTGCCTCCTGGGTTCAAGTGATTCTCATGCCTGAGCCTCCTGAGTAGCTGAGATTTTAGGCACCAGCCATTATGCCTGGCTAATTTTTGTATTTTTAGTAGAGACAGGTTTCACCATTTTGGCCAGAGTGGTCTAGAACTCCTGACCTCAAGTGATTCACCTGCCTCAGCCTCCCAAAGTGCTGTGATTACAGATGTGAGTTACTGTGCCCTGTTTCGAGGGCTTTTAAAAGCTAAACTTATGATGTCTCTGCATAGCATGGGCAGTAAAAATGGGAGCTCATCTATTAGCCACACCGGGAACACTATCTTCTTAACTGTACTGAAAATGTTAAAAATGGCCTTGTACATTGAACAACTCATCGACACATGACATTTTGCTAAACCCAGGTATGTAACAGTGAGGTGTCTTTGCATAATTTAAAAGCTACTATGGTAATTAAAACTTAAGGGAGCCATAATGACAGCTATATTCTTCTGGAATGTCAGGGACTAACTTGAGGGAGTAGGGGAGTGATCCAAGAGCCCTGAAAATGATGGTCGGGTGGGCCTCAGGACTCATCTCCACCAGCTGCAGGCATTTTGAGAGCCTGAAGATGGAGCACCACAGATGGAGCATTGTCTCCCTAAGATAGCCAATACCCAGTTGCCCCCATTTTCTCTATTTGTCAGTTCTTACACAGCTATAAAGAACTACCTTAGACTGGGTAATTTATGAACAAAAGAGGTTTAACTGACTCACAGTTTTGCAGGCTTAACAGGAAGAATGACTGAGATTCCTCAGGAAACTTAGAATCATGGGGAGGGTAAAGGGGAAGCAGGAAGCAAGCACCTACTTCACATGCTGGCAGGAGAGAGAGCACGCGAGAGAGAAGAGGGAGGTGCCACCCATTTTAAATGATCAGATCTCATGAGATTTCACTCACTATCATGAGAACAGCAAGGGAAGTATCTGTCCCAATAAGCCAATCACCTTCTATCAGGCCCCTCCCCTGACACATGAGGATTACAATTTGACATGAGATTTGGGTGGGAACACAGAGCCAAATCATGTCAGCTACTCTGCAGACTGTGGCCCATGACTAATTTTATTTTAATCATGGTAGTACTATCACCTTGGGAAAGAAATTTGGGTTGGCTTGTAGTAAGAAAAGGAAATGGCACTTATGTAACTAAAATTTATTCCTCTCTGATATGACTTCCTACTCTCCAACCTAACCCTGAATTCCAGCTAGAAGCCTCTTTCTGCAGCTCTGGAGTAACCAAGGCCTATTTTCAGCCTCATAGACTATCTTTATCACATAGTCCTCCCTCCATTCCTGCTTCCCTCCTTCTTAATCTACCTCATTGATGTCCAGATGTACAAGTCTTCTCAGCTCCATTAGGATCTCTGTCACTCCTATCTCCATCACTTATTTGTCCCTCTTTGCATCCTACCTTTCTCTCTCCTGTAACTACCTCCTGTATGTGCCCAATCCTTGCAACCCAATTCCAAGTTGCTGGAGAGTGGAAGCCATTTCCTGTGTCTTTTTTCCAGAAGTATTTGATAAATTAATACATGAAGGTAAGATGCCAGGAAACGATATACTTTTAAAAAAACCTTGCTTAAGATAGTACTTAAAGAAGAGTTCACCTTTTTAGAGTGACTGGATATTTTGTCTGCTCATTTTGCTACTTGAATGTGGGCCAATCATGATCCTGACTTGGAAGAATTATAAGCCTTGTCCAGTATGCAACATGTCTGTGAATCAATAATAAGTCACATTAGTGATGTTTGCATTCTCATTTTATATACCAGTTTGAGTAACTGGGTTCTTATTCTTACTGCTATGTTTAAGTTCCTCTTCTGTGTCTGTACCTGTCCTATTCAACCCAACTTGTTTCTGGGACTAATTCCTATAGTATTTCCTTTGTAACACTGTCAGCCCAGCTGTATTTCTTCCAATTGACTTGTTTTTCTGTTAAACCCAGTCACCTCTAATCTGGTGTAGCAGTAATATTCTGATGTATAGCAAATCCTCCCACAGTTAGGGCATAAAACAACAATGTGTTATGACTTACAATTTTGTGGGTTGACCTGGATCCACTGGCTGGTTCTTCTGCTGACCTCACCTGGTTCACTTATGCATCTTTAATTAACTGTTTGTTTGACTGGGACTAAAGAGTCTAAACGAATTTCCCTTACATTTCTTACTTTTAGACAGAGTTAATTACTTTCAGATAAAAACTATGGTAACACCAAAGTGTCATAGCTTAGGGTGTCATATTCTGGTCCCCTCCATTTGTTTAGGTTTTCATCAAAGAAGCTTGGTGGAAGTGCCACATTAAGGTTTGTTACATATTAGTTTAGCCCATCTTACCAGGCCTGACAAGACCACCAGAATTTAGAAAAAGAAGTCTTATTTATAAAATAAGCATGTGTCCAGGGCAGCTCATAAGTGGTATCTTTCAGGAAGGTGACATGGTAGGCAAGGTTCAACAGAATGTCACTGGGGAAACTGCAAAATATGGCCTAATCAAGAGACTGGTCAGAATTACAAGTGCAGGAAAACTCTGATTTTTTAAATTTATGTGTGTTTATGCAAATAAAATATTTTGCATCTGGAAAGCCTCAAATGAATTATATTTCTTTGGAGCCCTTTCTTTGCTCTATAATTTAATTATGAATATATTAAACTACTACTTGCATCCTCTGTACCTAGAATGAGTACCTGTTATATAGCCCATAATTCTCCCTAGATGTTGGGTATTTTAAGGAGAAATTTAGTCATCCTAATTGCATAGTTTCCAAAGTCAATGATTTCCTAAAACAAGGGAATCATTAGTTTATATTACTTTTTTCTAACATCTTTCCCAAGTTTAAATGAATGTGTATACTAATGGGTATTAAAAGTAAATTTTTCAGAAGCATTTTCAGGGCCAGCATCTGACTCAGATATTTATGTTACCTTTCAGAAAGGAAGACCGTGAAAAAGAAAAATAGAATCTTTTAAGGTAAATCTCAGTGAGTAGATGTATTAAGCACCTGTGCTAGTGAAGCAATCAACAGAATATTTACATTAATTAGAACATAAATGAAACAAACCAAATTTCTTTATTGTGTTATTTGTATGTCAAATTTGGCATGGAAACATAGAATCTGGGGAGATTCTGTCTCAACTTGAATGCATAAACAACACAAGAATAATAGGAGAAAATCTTTGGAAGGAAATTAGAGCAATATGATGTATGAACTTATAAAATTGAGACATCTTAAGAGGGAGAAGTTTGCTTTGGTAAGAAAGATGCAGCAAACTTTTCTCTACCATGACTAAGGGAATGAAATAAACCAGAGGATTTTGATACTATTATTTTTTCGGATTTCATTTTTACTTTTTGGCAGAGGTGGAAGGTAGGGAGAAGGTTTTCTAATAAAAATGTCCAAGGCCTGTTGATTGTAAAAACACATCTCTAATATGAGTGAATGCATTATTGCATAATTATCTAGGCCTTCATACAAACTCCATGGGTAATTCCAGTCCCCAAACGAATATTTGTCTAAATGATTTAGATCACCTGTATTCACTCTGATGAGTTCAAGGCAAGTAAGAATAAAAAATCAGGGACTTTTAAATAACTATGTTCTAACAAAGTTGAAAATTTATTTTTGTGCAGCTTTGCCATATTTTCTCAAAATCTAAAGATTGCAGAGCAAATTTCAGGATTTCAGAGCAAATTAAAATCAAGGACAAAAATCTGTTCTATTTGTTCCCTTGACATTGCATAGTCTTTTAAATGCCCCTGGTTAGAGGAGTTAGGTCAGTTGATAATAGAAGTGTGAAACAAAATCAGAGGAAGCATAAAACAAGAGAAGATCACTATGAAACTTTGTACTAGAAAAAAAAATCCAAAAGACATAGCTTATGTGAATACAGAACATTTTTGAAGTAAGTAACTAAATTACAAAGCAAATTCAGCTTCTAGTAGTTGAAAATAAGGATTTTAGGGAAACTCTTAAAACCATGCTCCACACTTCAGCTCATATCGTGCTGACCATAACTAGATCCCACAGCCAGACTAAGGGATCAGAGGATAAGAGACACAGACTATGCAGGTGTGGTAATTCACCCAGCAAGTAAGCCGAAGTTCTACAACAGAGCAGGGGGAATATGTGTACTAGGAGGCAGCTAACAGTCTCTCCTATTTTCTTTTCCATAGCTATTCTTAAGATATGTTTCTTTTTTTGACTCCTAAAATGTAGCTGTAGGAGAGTAAGAGTAACATCTTTTCTTTACTGTCACTAGGTTCATGGCTGAGACCTCCATAACAATAAACAGGTTAGCAAGAAAAAAAGCATACAAATATATTTAATGTAAGTTTCACATGACACAGTGTATTAGTCCATTTTCAAACTGCTGGTAAAGACATATCTAAGCCTGTGTAATTTATAAAAGAATGAGGTTTAATGGATTCACAGTTCCATGTGGATGGGAGTCCTTACAATCATGGCAGAAGGCAAAAGCTATGCCTAACATGGAGGTAGACAAGAGAGAATGAGAACCAAGTGAAAGGGGTTTCCCCTTATGAAACTATCAGCTCTCATGAGACTTATTCACTACCATGAGAACAGTATGAGGAAAACTGTCCTGATGATTCAATTATCTCCCACTAGGTCCCTTCCACAACAAGTGGGAATTATGGGAGCTACAATTCAAGATGAGATGTGGGCGGGGACACAGCCAAATAATATTATTTATCCCCAACCCTTCCCAAATCTTATGTCCTCATATTTGAAAATCAATTATGCTTTCCCAAGAGTCCCCAAAGTCTTAAATCATCTCTGCGTTAACTCAGAAGTCCACAGTCCAAAGTCTAATCTGATTCAAGGCAAGTCCCTTCCACCTATGAGCTTGTAAAATCAAAAGCAGGTTAGTTACTTCCTAGATACAATGTGGGTACAGGCACTGGGTAAATACGCTCATTCCAAATGGGAAAAATGAGCCAAAACAAAGGGCTAAAGGCCCTATGCAAGTCTGAAATCTAGTGGGGCACTCAAATCTTAAACCTCTAAAATGATCTCCTTTGACTCCATGTCTCACATGGGCTCATGGCCTTGGGCAGCTCTGCTCCTGTGGCTTTGTAGCCCCCTTCTTGGCTGCTTTCATGGGCTTTCACTGAGTGTCTGTGGCTTTTCCAGGTGCAGAGTGCAAGCTGTCAGTGGATCTACCATTCTGTGGTCTGGAGGATGGTGGCCTTCTTCTCACAGCTCCACTAAGCAGTGCCCCAGAGGTGACTCTTTGTGAGGGCTTCAATTTCACATTTCCCTTCTGCACTACCCTAGCAGAGGTTTTCCTGGAGGCCTCTGCTCCTGCAGCAGACTTCTGCCTAGACATCCAGGCATTTCCATACATCCTCTGAAATGATCTTCTTTCACAGGCTCAACACAATGTGGAAGCTGGCAGGGCTTGGGGCTTGTTCCCTTTGAAGCAATGGCCTGAGCTATACCTTTGCCCCTGTCAGCCATGGCTAGAGTAGCTGGGAAGCAGGGCATGACGTCCCTAGGGTGCACATGGCAGGGGGCCATGGTCCTGGCCCATGAAACCATTTTGTCCTCCTGGGCCTCTGGGACTGTTATGGGAGTGGTTGCTGTGAATGTCTCTGACATGTCCTGGAGACGTTTTCCCCATTGTTATGGAGACTAATATTTGGCTTCTTGTTATTTATGCAAATTTCTACAGCAGGCTTCAATTTCTTCTCGGAGAATGGGTTTTTCTTTTCTATTGCATCATCAGGCTGCAAATTTGCTGAAGTTTTATGCTCTATTTTCTTTTAAAACTGGGTGTTTTTAACAGCACCCAAATCACCTCATGAATGATTTGCTGCTTAGAAATTTCTTCCACCAGGTACTCTAAATCATCTCTCTTAAGTTCAAAGTTCCACAAATCTCTAGGGCAGCAAAATGCCACCAGTCTCTTTGCTATAGCATAAAAAGAGTCACTTTTGCTCCAGTTCCCATCTCCATCTGAGACCACCCAAATTTTATCTTGAATTATAATTCTCATAATCTCCATGTGTAGATGGAAAGACCTGATGGGAGGTGATTGGATCATGGGAGTAGTTTCCATACTGTTTTCATGATATTGAGTGAGTTCTCACAGGAACTGATAGTTTTATAAGTGTTTTAACAGTTCCTCCTGCACACGCATACTCTTTCTTGCCTGTCACCATGTAAGATGTGACTCTTCTCCTTCCACTGTGATTGTAAGTTGTCTGAGTCCTCTCCAACCACACAGAACTGAGTCAAGTAACCCTTTTTTCTTTCTTTCTTTCTTTTCTTTATCTTGAGACAGAGTATCACTCTGTTTCCCAGGCCGGAGTTCAGTGGCATGATCTTGGCTCACTGCAGCCTCTACCTCTGCCACCTGAGTTCAAGCAATTCTTGTGACTCAGTCTCCTGAGTAGCTGGGACCACAGGCATGCACCATCATGCATAGCTACATTTGTATTTTTAGTAGAGATAGGGTTTCACTATGTTGCCCTGGCTGGCCTTGAACTCTTGACCTCAAATGATCTATCTGCCTTGGCCTCCCAAAATACCTTTCAATATATGTCTACTTTCTTAGAAGTAATAAATAATTGAATAGATATTCAATTCAAACAATTATAATTATTCCAACAAATGGTGTATCTATTCACCTAGTAGTTCTTAGGCCTAACTTGAAATTCAGATGTTGAAAGGATAGATGGTTATTAATTGGCAGGGGATCACACAAATTTTAGGTAAATTATATAGATAATAGAAGATTCCAATATTTAATGTTTGAGAGCAAAGACAAATGTTAAATCTGGCAAAGTTCAAAGTTTTAGCATATTTCTATTGTTCTAACCATAAGCAAGCAGTAGAGGCACCTTTTTTTTTGAAGTTACATGAAACTTCAAAAAAAGGCCAGTGTTCTCACATGTCAGTTTGAATACCTACCAAAGAAGAGAGAGCTATGAATGAGTAACAATGGGAGATGGAATGATGACCTCCCAAAGAGGATCATATCCTAATCCCTGAAATTTGTGAATATGTTACATTACATGGCAAGGGGGAATTAAGGTTGCAGATGGAATTAAGGCTGCTAATTAGCTGACCTTAAAATAGGATGACTATCCTAGGTGATTGGAGTGGACCTAATATAATCTCAAGGACTTTAAAAGTGGAAGAGGAAGGCAGAAGAGTCAGTGTTAAGAGCGATGCAATGTGAGAAAGACTACTGGCAATTGCTGGCTTTGAAGATGGGATGGGGCCATGAAATGTACATGGCCTCTGTTTTGGAAAAGATGAGTAGTGGAATTTTCCCCTAGAGCTTTCAGAAGGAAACAGCTCAGCTGGCAACTTAATTTTAGCCAAGAGAAACAGATTTTAGATTTTTGACCTCTAGAAGTATAAAATTATAAATTTGTATTGTTTTAAGATGCTAAGTTTGTGATACATTATATCTTCACTTAACGTTATTGATAGGTTCTTGGAAACTGTGACTTAAATAACATACAGCAGGCATTCAAATTATATTGTTTAGTTTCATATCATTTTGTTATAATGTTGGTGAGAAAAAAATTGGTTTTGTTACATGTAATTTCTCTTAAAGTCAGCTTCTAAGAATGTACTGACATTGTTAAGTGAAGAAACTTGTTACAGCAGCAATAGGAAACTAAAAGGACAACCAAGGTGAGATTCTGAATAGAAATACACCACGAATGGAAAACAACAAAATTTCCAACTGCTAACATGAATACAATGACATCACCATTGAAATAATTAACTTCCACACCCTCTGATAATAATTTCATCAGACTGAACATCTAGTAGCTATTTGGAGTAATTAATAAGATATAGAAGAGAAGACAGAATAGATGACTGATCAGCATTCTTAAGCCATTTACATCTGTTTAAAAATGAATGTAGGAAAGAAAGAAAGGCTCATTCCTTGGAATTTTATTAGTGTGTTTCAGCTGATGAGAACCTAATG